CTCACTCATCCGCTCTTCGCGGTCCATGGCAACGACAACGCCCACCACGGAGCAGCCACCCTGGGATCTGATGATGTCCATCGACTCCCGAATTGCAGTGCCCGCAGTGATGACGTCGTCGACCACTAGGACCTTCTCTCGATTGCAACGGAAGGTGAAAGGTGAAAGGTGAAAAGAAGAGGGGGTCACACAAAGGTAGGGTAGGAAGATGAATGAGCGGTTCTGGTGGGGCCTGGGGAAAGGAGGAAACATTCAGTGTAAGTTCTAAGCCCCCAGTGATTCTTTAGGACGAACCAATACTCATTGGAAAGCCATATCATTCTCCTATTCCTCCACCACCTCCTCTTCTTCCTCCTCCTCCTCCTACCCATCCTCCTTCCCATTATCCTCCCCATCCTCCTCCCCCGCCTCCTCCACCTCTTCCATGTATTGTCCATGTAGATAACTCGCCCCTGCCGCACCACCAGACTTGTCCGTAGGCCCGGCTGGGCGTTTCGCTTGAGACGCGTTTGCACTTGACGATTTTGCAGCTAAGACACAACGGTACGGAGAGCCGATGGTATCCCAAATGTGGCTCTCGTCGTAGCACCACGCAGACTTGTCTTAAACAATCAATCAACTACACGGAAGGGGGTGGTATTCGACATGCGGCTATCGCCTTATCGCCGAGCACATTCGTTTTCAAAGTCTCCAGCAGCTACGAAGATGGAGACCGGATCGGTTTCGAAATGCGGCTATCCCATGAGCACGGCGCACACACGTTTTGAAAAAAAACAAAAGCAACACACATGCAGGGGGGACTGGTTTCCAAATGCGGCTCTCGCCTTAACGCCACAGGTTCTCACACTCACAAGGATGGAGGTCAGTGCGTTTAGACTGTTGTTGACTCTATGACCTGAACTCCCACGGATACGCAGCTACACTGATGGCAGGCAAGTCAACCCGTACACAGGCCACACCCAATTCTAATCTGCGCAACGATTACACAGATGAAGGCGGCTCAGTCTCAGAATGGGGCTCTCGCCTGAAATTTCCGCAGATGTCATGCCCAGGGCTATGAGATTGCGGAGCACTCGCACGGATAAGACCTCTTATCCTTGCCAAAACGGGGCCATCATTGGACACTCGCTTGAACTTGACCATCCTATCTCTTTGCGCTGTGTTGCAGCCCCCCGAGTAAAGGGGTTGATATCCTCCCTCCCTCTCCTCCCTCAGCAAGTGACCCTGAGCTGGGAGGATAGCTCCCGTCCCAATCCCGCAAGGGATTGGGGCGGGAGGTTTACTCTGGGACGCTTGAACGTTACCATCCTGTCTCTTTGCGCTGTGTTGCAGCTAGGAGGATTGAAGACAAATCCTTTACAGCACGGGGCCTCGCCTGAGGGGTAGGCCCACTGGGCTCTGCGCTTTCTCCGTCAGCGGAAAGGAAGGCTTCTGGGGGCGTATGGGCAGAGGACTTCGGACGGGAGAGTGTATTTCTGCATTGTTGATGCATCATGGATTGATTGTGGCTTTCCTCCTCCCCCTGCTCCGCCCCCTCCTCCTCCTCCTCCTCTTCCTCCTCCTCCTCCTCCTCCTCCTCCTCCTCCTCCTCCCCTTCCTCTCCCTCCTCCCCCTCCTCCCCCTCCTCCCCCTCCTCCCCCTCCTCTCCATCCTCCTCCTCCTCCCCCTCCTCTCCATCCTGCTCCCACTCCTTCTCATCACCATCCTTCTGCCCCATGCTCCCACTCCTTCTCATCACCATCCTTCTGCCCCATGTTGCTGTCCCTCGTCCCTGAAAGGCACCTCTTCTTGGTCACGACACTTCATCCCTCTCGCCTTCCCTGCTGCACCCTCACCTCATGCGCCTCGCATACTCGGAGGACGCTGCGAGGCGCCCAGCATGCCCCCGAGGCAGCACGATCGCCGTGCAGCGCCGCAGCCATGCCACGACACTCAACTGCAAACGCTGCGCACAGCTGCTGCACCAAATCGCCAGGGAATTCCTGATGATGCGCCACCCGCGTCCTCAGCGGCACGGCTGCAGGCGACGTCGGAATGGCTTGGAGAGGCATTTCTTCCAACCTCCCCCCTACGGCCAGGATGTTCTCACTGCTCCTCAAAAACAAGCGCCCCCTCCCCGACTCGAGCGACCGCCAACAGGGAAGCCTGAGCACCCCCCCCACAACCTCTGGGTAGATCGTGAGAGGGACCCTCGCGAGCACTTCGCTCTAGCTGTTTGCGAGGACGGCGGGAGGGGAGCATATGTGTCCGCTGTGCGCTGCCCCACTCTCCCTGTCAAAAACGCAAGCGTACTCATCGAGGGTGCACACAGTGTGCACGATGCTGACCACCCCACCCAACTTTGCAGTGGCTCTTGACACGGATGATCGGGGGGGGATCACTGCCCGATGCGAGCTGCCACGCGCACTGGCGCACTTGACGCAATCGTCACGCATGCAGGAGAGCCCAGAATCGAATCGACAAGTCGGATCGGCGATCGATCTGAATCGGATCGGAGGAAATCGGCAGCCGAATCGGGAAAAGCCGGATCGGCGGACATCGGCAGGCCAATATGCCTCAAATCAAGAACCGGAGCCCGAATCGGAATCCGAGGTCGAACCGAATCGGAACCGGAAGCCATCGGAGCCGAATCGAACCGGAGGAACCGAAACGAGCCCTGCCCTGCTCGGGCGCGCACCCGCTGCGCACTCCTCGCGCGCGCAGCGCGCACGCGGCGCAGCTGGCGCACCAGGCGCGCGCGGCACGCGCAGGGCCCGTGAGGCTCCCGGCACGCGCGGCGCGCCCCACGGGCGCCGCACCCCGTGGCGTCGGCGTCGGATACCCAGCGATGTCCGTGCGATGGCGGCCTCTGCCTACGATGATTACGGGATGCGACTTACCCATCGGTCGGAAGAAGTAGAAGTAGAGGGCAGTTTTAAATACCTATACGACCACCCTGCGGGTGATAAGGAGGTTGGGAGGGGAAGGGCCCCAGCAATGGGCAACAGTTGTGATTGTTGTTGTGACGATGCCAATGGAGAGTGTTGCGTTGCCGCTCGCTCTTGGGAGCGTCGGTGTCAAGTTGTTTACATCACCCTTCGTTCTTTGGCGCATTGGTACCATTCGTCCCTGCCCTTGGGAACCTGCCCAACCTGCCCAACGGCAGCCAACGGCGGCATGTACGTCACTCGTGGATGATGCCCCCTTCGCACGGGTCGTCATCATCATCAACAACAATAACAACATTAACATCATCATCACCATCATCATCATCATCATCATCATCATCATCATCATCATCATCATCATCATCATGATCACCATCACCATCACCATCACCATCACCATCATCATAATCATCATCATCACCATCATCATCTTCAGCACCGTCATCATCACCATCACCATCACCATCATCATCATCATCATCATCATCATCAGCAGCAGCAGCATCACAATCATCATCAGCATCATCATCTTCAGCACCATCATCATCACCATAATCATCATCAACATCATCATCAACAACAGCAACAACAGTAACAACAACAACAACAACAACATCATCATCATCATCATCATCATCATCACCACCACCACCACCACCACCACCACCATCACCATCATCATCATCATCATCATCATCATCACCATCATCACCATCATCACCATCATCATCATCATAATCATCATCATCATCATCATCATCATCACCACCACCACCATCATCATCATCATCATCATCATCATCATCAGCATCATCATCATCATCATCATCATCATCATCATCATCATCATCATCAGCAGCATCCTCATCCTCATCCATCATCATCCTCATCCTCATCCCTCATCCTCATCCTCATCCCTCATCTCATCCTCATCCTCATCCTCATCCTCATCATCTCATCCTCATCCTCATCCTCATCCTCATCCTCATCCTCATCCTCATCCCTCATCCTCATCTCATCTCATCATCATCTCATCATCATCCTCATCATCTCATCATCTCATCATCATCATCATCATCATCATCATCATCATCATCATTCATCCTCATCCTCATCCTCATCCTCATCCTCATCATCATCCTCATCATCATCATCAGCATCAGCATCATCATCATCATCATCATCATCATCATCATCATCATCATCATCATCATCATCATCATCATCATCATCATCATCATCATCATCATCATCATCATCATCATCATGGTCATCATCATGATCATCATCATCAGCATCGGGACACCGACGGAACACCGACGGGACACGGGCGGGACACCGGCGGGACACCGCGGGCCCCCAGACGCCCGGACGGCAATCATTTGGTCCGGCCGCGCCGCAGCCACACGGGACCCCAGCGGGACATCGGGCGGGACACTGCGGGCCCCCAGACGCCCGGACGGCAATCATTTGGTCCGGCCGCGCCTCAGCCACAGGAGACTGTCTCTCGCCCGCCCACGCAGCTTCGTCTCGCCCGCACGCACGGCACGCACGAACACGAAACCGAAATCGATTTCCTGGTAGGGGGGCTCTCCGTTCCACTTCGATCTCACCCCCCAACCTCCGACATAGGATGTTTAAAAACATATGATTTTTCATACATGATTAATGTATGAATATATGTATGCATGAACTCATCGTTGTTTTCTATACAAATTCCCTGCATGTTTGATACATGATCCGCACGCGGAGCATATATTAAAAACAGCACTCTGCGATGATTACGAGATGCGACTTACCCATCGGTCGGAAGAAGTGGGTGGAAACGTGAAGTAGGAAGGCGTTGGAAGCAGATTGGGCTTCCGCCCGTCCTCTGAAGAGAAGGGAGGAAGGAAATCCGTCGATCCTTGAAGGAGGAAGGCGCCGAAAGCAGATTGGAGTCTGGAACTCCAACAATACCTACTTTCAACGACCGATGGGTAATGGCGGGAGGTGGGAGGGCGGGCGGGAGTGAGCGAGGCAGCGTGTGGCGTTCCCGTTGGGAACTTGACCCCTGCCCCTCCCCCCTGGGTCTGGACGGGGGGACCGCGAGGAGTCATCATGGCGCCCAGGGTGGCCCAGGGTTGCTCCAGGAGGGCCTCGGGCAGCCACAAATCAATACACACAAATAAATACACACAGGATTAATTGTGTCTGTGTGTTTCCTTTCCTCCTGAAAGGGGACCTCCGAGGTGGCTCCCAGCTGCTCCGAGGTAGCTCAGAATGCCACTCGGACGGTGCCAAGTGGCAACGGAGCGTCCGAAGAACCCCGAGGGGCCAAACGCACTCAAAAATCGTGGGTGGTTCAACGTCGTCTGGCTTCCCGCCTGTTCGTGTCCGATGGGCCTCTGAGGCCTCAAGATGGCCTCCTGGTCGCTGAAGAGAGCCCCAAGAGGGGCCCCGAAGAGGCACAAGACGGCCCCAGGAGAGCCCAACACGTCGCAAGAGCGCCCCAAAAAGAGCTTCAACAGGCGATGCTTCGTGCTCAAAGGGGGCGCCGCTCATTCACGCCGCCCTCTTTTTGCTGGATGGCCTCCAAAATGGCCCCGACGGGGTCCAAGGGCCCCCAGCCCCCAAGAGGGCACCAATAGTCCCGAGAGAACCTCAACGCAAGAGAGCTCCAAGATGGCTGCAAGAGGCCTCCATTTGGCTGAAAGAGTTCTCTGAGGTCACTGTTGTCGGCCTCTTCCGACAGCTTGCATTGACCATCGTTTCTGGATGGGCTGGGGGGGGGGCATATGCGAAGCGTCCAGAATAATAAGTCCAGCCCTCTGGGCGCTGGTGGTCTCACGCGTCAGCCCACGTCGCAACACTTCCCCATCCAGCCTAGCCGTGCAAACTGGATGGGCCGCCAACCTGGAGCATGTTGGAAGCCTCTTGTCGCCTATTGGTTTGGGAGGCCTCTTGGGGACCTCTCGAAGGCTTCGCGGGGGACGTCTGGGCCCTCCTGAGGGCCTCCCAGGGGCCTCATTGAGGGCCTCCCGGGCAGCCGGGTATATTATGGAGCAATGTTGTTGCTGACCATGACCCCTCCACGACATGTCCATGATCTGAAGGGCTCTCGGGGGCCTCGTCGTCTTGACCCAAGTTGGATGCCACCCTGCCAGCTGGGCGGTCTTCGAGTCCATCTAGGCAGTGTAGGTCGGGGAACAAATAGTGGCCTAAACATTAACTTTCGGAGCTCTGCGCGGATTTCCTGGATCGGTGCTGGACCCCCTTCCCTGGCGCGTGGAGCGCGCCAAGGGCGAAGCTGGAGGCGACGTCAGGGAGCTCCAGCGCCGATCCGGGGAATCCGCGCGGATCATGTCTATGTCATGTCATGTCTTGGCCACGATGGAGGCCACCTTGGACCGTCTTGGACCCAGAGCAATTGACCGACGAAAAGAAACGGGTCTTGCGCGAGATGACGTGGTGACCTTGCGCCGCAGCTTGCGCGGGCCGCCAGCGCGGCACGCTGCACTGAAAATTAGTGCGTTTACGCGCGACTACTCGGGCAGCCCACGCGCCAATGTCGGCGAAGACGGCCCCGCTTTGGGGGTGTCGCTCGTGTGCTGATGCCGAAGGGGTCAGCCCCCTTGCCCTGCGGGGTCGGGGGGCCTTGGGTGCCTTGGGTGCCCCAGAGGTCTGGGCGTCCAGGGCGGCGCAGGGTGGCTTCGAGGCAACCCTTGACGGGCCCACTTTCCACCACCACTACCACAGGCAGGTTAGGGAGGAGGAGGAGGAGGAGGAGGAGGAGGAGGAGGAGGAGGAGGAAGGTGAGGAGGACGATCTCCTCATCATCCCTTCTCCCCCCGTCCCATATATGGTAGTGGTGGTGGAAAATTTGCCCATCAACCCCGGAGAAGCCAAGACAGCATCAGACATGCTTCCTGAAGCGAGGTCGCCCAATTTCGGGGAGACGTGAGACTCGGGTTCGGGAGACTCGGGTTGGCCTGGGAAGACCGTGACTGAAGCGACGAGACCCGCTCTGAAATTTGGCGCGAGCTCCCGCTGCAAACATCTCAAGAAACCTGGACCGTCAGCATCCAGGACGGGCTCGTCCAAAAGAGGCGGCGAGCCCGCGTTCTGGCGAACTCGAGCCTGACGTTCGCCCCACAACTGCGCGCACCGCGCCCCGCGACGCGCAGCGCGCGACTGTCTTGGCGCCCCCGCGCCCTCGCGCCGCCCACCTGCACAGGAGGCAGCCACTCCGGCCCCGGCCGCGGTGCGCGAAGCGCAGCTCGTCTTCGAGGCCCCCGCGGGTGACCCAGCCGAAAGCCTCCCCGGCCGGCACAGGGCAGCTCCGCCCGGTCACGGATCCTCCTAGGGGCACAGGGCAGTTCTTAATACGTAGGATTGTTTTAAAATATAGGTTTTGTGTATTACATGATTAATGTATGAATAAATATATGCATGAGCTCATCGTTGTTTTTTATGCTAAATCCCTGCATGTTTAATACATGATCCGCACGCGGAGCATGTATTAAAAACGGCACTGTACACCCAAGAGACCAGGCCGAGGGTTCAAAATCCAGCGACGGCCCATGCCGTCCAGTCCTTCTTACCGTCTTGCCTTTGCTCCTCCCATCGGCTCCGGGGGCCTCAAGAGGGTTCAAAGATGGACAGACAGAGCCCCAAGAACAGCTTGGAGAAGCCCCAAGCTGGCCCAAAGGCCCCCATTAGCGCCCCAAGAGCGTCTCAATAGGGCCTCACAAGACGAGTTGTAAGGCTCCGACGAGAATACGCTTTTTGAACCCCTCCCGTTGATGATCGACTTCGTCCAAGGTGGCCCCAAGAAAGACCAAGAAAGGCCCAAGAGAGCCCCGAAGGCCTTCCAAGATGGTGCCATATCGAAAGATTCACAACCTTTATAGCTAGATCCTGGATGTGCTCAGGCTGATCCCGATGTGACAGCTGCCCACCCTCCTTGTTCCATTGCACACTCATAGACTTCCCTGATCAAGACACGTCACCTGCGGATCGCTTCTGGATGGCCTGCACGGCTGAGATTCCAAAGGGTTTGAGCCTCTGTCTGCTTACCTCGAACCATCCTGGAGGGGCGTACCCTTGAAAGAAGTCTGGAACTGAAAGAGGGGCCCGCTGCGAGATACGAGAAGCAGGAAAAGATAAGGCATGGCGGGACAATGGTAGATCCAGCCAGCAGCGAGGCAGGGAAAGGAGAGGATGAAGGAGTGATCCAGAGTACAAAACGACACATTATGGTGTTGCCACTTCGACCTTGGGCGCGAGCTTGCCCACGATGAGACCACCTTCACCGTGGTCCTACGAGGAGCCGTGATGCGATGTCACTAATCGGAAACGCTCGCAACAAAACAATCCCCTTTCGGCCGCGTTTCGCACTACCCTGCTCCATAACAACCAAGAGCTCAAGTGGGGCACAAATCAAATACTATGCAACGGAAAGAACATGTCATTCGCATGTCGACAAATTGAAAATCAGTCGGTACCCTTGGGGGCGCAAGGCTGTGAATGCTTCTGCTGGACTGCTGCTTCGTGCCTGTTGTGTTATCGGCCACCGTGCCTCGAGGCGTGAGCTGGAGTGCTAGCAGGTCCCTTGAGCCGTCCTTCGTCAGACTGAGGATAGAATCTTCTGAAAAGGGGCACGCACACCCCAGATTCAGTGTTTCTCCGTGCCTTCTGGGCCGTGCCGCGTGCTCGCGCGTGTGGTCGCAGGAATTTTCGGGACGCAAGAGGGCCCCAAGACGGGGCAAGGAGGCCTCAAGTCTCGGCCCAGGAGCGCTCCGTGGGCGCAGAAGATGGCCCCCGAAGACGGCCCGAGGGGCCCCCAAGACGTCCCAAGAGGGCTCAAAAGAAGCCCCCGAAGAAGGCTCCGAGAGGCTCAAGGCACGCATTCACCATCGGTTGTTGAAAGATGCTTCGGGCCTTCGACGCTCCAAGACGGCCCAATAGGTCCCCAAGATCGCCCCACGACGGCCCAAGATGCTCTCAGGAGAGACGGCCCACGAGAGCCCCAACACTGCCCGAGAGGCCCCCAAGGTGGCCCAAGAGGGGCACCAACATTTCGATCCCGCCGCCCCCAGACGACCTCCGAGACCGCCAGTGGGCCCCGAGAAGCCCCCCAAAAGCTCCAGGAGGCCCCCGAGAAGCCCAGACCAGGCCCCAAGAGGCCCCGGAGAGGTTCCCAAGACACCCCGAAACCGAGAGGCCTCCCAGGAGATCCCCTCCGGCATCCAGGAGGCCTCTGACCTGCAACCAAGGCACGGTGGCAGGATGGGCCAAAGGCCACTAGATCCGCCGCCCCCTGTCGATTCATCACAGGGGTGCCTGGCGTGCTAGACGATTTCGGTTTTGGTTTTGGTTCTTGTTCCAAAAGAACTCCCCCTGGGGCTTCGGCCCGTCCCGCCGGGGTCCCGGAGGATTGCCCGGACCCGGTTGCCAAGGACTTTTCTCTCTAGATGGCTCCAAGACGGCCCAATATGGCCTCCAAGATGCATCCAAGACGACCAAGACCGAGATGGCCTCCAAGACGGCTAAGATGGCTCCAAGATGCCTCCAAGACGAGCCAAGATGCACCCAAGACGGCCTAAGATGGCATCAAGATGGCCCAAGACGGCCCCAGAGACCCCCAAGAGGCCTCCGATACGGCCCAAGAGGCCCCCAATAGGTCCTCCAGGAGGGCCCGAAGATGCCAAAATCATTGATTTTCCTTGTGTTGTTTAAAGGATTTTGGCATTTGCGCCTTTTCGGCTTTCCGACAGCCCAAGACGGCCCAAGAGGCCCCCAAGGTCGCCCCAAGATCGCCCAAGAGGCCTCCAAGAGGGCCCCCACAGCGCCCAAGAGGCCTCCAAGACGGCCCCAAGAGGGCCCAAAGACGGCCCAAGAGACCTCCAAGACGCCCAAGATGGCCTCCAAGACGGCCCCGCGGCGCCCCAAGAAAGCCCCAAGTCGGCCCAGAGAGGCCCCCCGAACGGCTTCCGACAGCGTCAGACGGGCCAGGAGCCCACCAAGATGGCCGAAGTTGGCTCGAAGCTGGCCAAGACGGCCCAAGAGGCCTCCAAGAGGGCCTCCAGGAAGGCCAGAAAAGGCGAAAAACAATGGTTTTCCGTATGTGTTTAATGGATTTTGACATTTGCTTCTGTTCGGCCTTCCAACAGCCCGAGGCGGCCCAAGATCCCCCAAAGATCACCCAAAGATCGCCCAAGAGGCCTCCAAGATGGCCCCAGAACGGCCCAAGAGGCCCCCAAGACGGCCCCAAGAGGCCCCCAAGACGGCCCAGGAGGCTTTTAAGACGCCCAAGATGGCCTCCAAGACGGCCCTGGAGCACCCCAAGAGGGCCCCACGTCGGCCCAGAGAGGCCCCCCAAACGGCTTGCCTCCCATGGCGTCAGACGGGCCAGGAGCCCACCAAGACAGCCGAAGATGGTCCTAAGATGGCCCAAGACGGCCCAAGAGGCCTCCAAGAGGGCCTCCAGGAAGGCCCGAAAAGGCCAAAATCATTGATTTCCCATGAGTTTTGAGGGATTGTGGCATTTGCTTTTTTTTCGGCCTTCCGACGACCCCAGACGGCACAAAAGCCCCCAAAGATCGCCCAAAGAGGCCCAAGATGGCCCCAAGAGGCCCCCAAGACGGCCCAAGAGGCCTCCAAGACGCTCAAGATGGCCTCGAAGACGGCCCAAGAGCCCTCCAAGACGTCCTCCAAGAAGGCCCGAAAGATTCAAAATGGCCTCCAGACGGCCAAGAGGACCTTCAAGATGCCCACGTGTTCCCCGAACGATTTCCAAACCGACTCGGCGAACACATGGTTCGATAGCTTGGCAGATCTGGCCTCAACGTTCGGCCACATAGGCGCTTCCCAAAGGCTGGGGGCGGCGGTGATTCGCCGTAGGCGTCTTCGATCCGCCGTCCCCTGTCGATTCATCGCAAGGGTGCCTGGCGTGCTAGACGATTTCGGTTTTGGTTTTGGTTCTTGTTCCAAAAGAACTCCCCCTGGGGCTTCGGCCCATCCCGCCGGGGTGCCGGGAAGCTCTTCCAGGACCGCAAACGACCTCAACGTCCGGAAAAAATTCTCCAAGACGACTCAAGATGGCCTCCAAGATGGCCATGTTGGCCGAAGATGGCCTCCAAGATGGTCCAAGATGGCCTCCAAGTTCGCCCAAGATGGTCCAAGACGGCCTCCAAGACGGCCTCCAAGACGGCCCAAGACGGCCCAAGACGGCCCAAGGGGTCCCCCAGAGGCCTCCAAGACGGCCCAAGAGGCCTCCAAGAGTTCCTCTAGGAGGGCCCGAAGAAGCTAAAATCATTGATTTTCCTTCGGTTTTCAAAGGTTTTTCGTATTTGCTCCTTTTCGGCTTTCCGACGACCCAAGACGGCCCAAGAGGCCCCCAAGATCGCCCCCACAGCGCCCAAGAGGCCTCAGGACTGCCCAAGAGGCCCCCAAGACGGCCCCAAGAGGGCACAAAGACGACCCCAGAGGCCTCCAAGACGCCCAAGATGGCCTCCAAGACGGCCCTGGAGCACCCCAAGAAAGCCCCAAGTCGGCCCAGAGAGGCCCCCCGAACGGCTTCCGACAGCGTCAGACGGGCCAGGAGCCCACCAAGATGGCCGAAGTTGGCTCGAAGCTGGCCCAAGACGGCCCAAGGGGCCTCCAAGAGGGCCTCCAGGAAGGCCAGAAAAGGCGAAAAACAATGGTTTTCCGTATGTGTTTAATGGATTTTGACATTTGCTTCTGTTCGGCCTTCCAACAGCCCGAGGCGGCCCAAGATCCCCCAAAGATCACCCAAAGATCGCCCAAGAGGCCTCCAAGATGGCCCCAGAACGGCCAGAACGGCCCTAGAGGCCCCCAAGACGGCCCCAAGAGGCCTCCAAGACGGCCCAGGAGGCTTTTAAGACGCCCAAGATGGCCTCCAAGACGGCCCTGGAGCATTCCAAGAGGGCCCCAAGTCGGCCCAGAGAGGGCCCCCCAGACGACTTCTGACGGCGTCGGACGGGCCAGGAGCCCACCAAGACGGCCGAAGATGGCCCTAAGATGGCCCAAGACGGCCCAAGAGACCTCCAAGAGGGCCTCCAGAAAGGCCCCAAAAGGCCAAAATTATTGATTTCTCATGAGTTTTGAGGGATTGTGGCATTTGCTATTTTTGTTCGGCCTTCCGACGACCCGAAACGACCCAAGTGCCCCCAAAGATCGCCCAAGAGGCCCAAGACGGCCCACTAGGCCCCCAAGACGGCCCAAGAGGCCTCCAAGACGCTCAAGATGGCCTCCAAGACGGCCCAAGAGCCCTCCAAGACGTCCTCCGAGAAGGCCCGAAAGGGTCAAAATGGCCTGGGGCTTCGGCCCGTCCCGGCGGTCACTCGGAAAGATTGCCCGGCTTGCCTGGAGCCGGTTGTACTGGGTTTTTCCTGCTCCAGACGGCTCCAAAACGGCCCAAGATGGCATCCAAGACGCCTCCAAGACGGCAAGCATGGTCTGCAAGACGGCTCAGATGGCCCCAAGATGCCTCCAAGATGGCCCAAGATGCCTCCAAGACGGCCTAAGATAGCCTCAAGATGGTTCAAGACGGCCCAAGAGGCTCCCAAGAGCCCCCCAAGACGCCTCCAAGAGGTCCTCAAGCAGGGCCCGAGGAGGCCAAAATCCTTGGTAGACCTCAAAACGGGATCGACCCAAAATCGCTCACGAGGCCTCCAAGATGGCCCCATGACGGCTCAAGAAGCCCCCAAGAAGGCCCCATGAGAGCCCCAAGATGGCCCAAGAGGCCTCCAAGACGCCCAGGATGGCCTCCAAGACGGACCCGAAGCGCCCCAAGAGGGCCCCAAGTCGGTTCAGAGAGGCCCCCACGACGGCTCCCGACGGCGTAAGACGGGCCAGGAACGCTATAAGACGGCCCAAGAAGCCCCCGAGAAGCCCCAAAAGGGCCCCAAGAGGCCCTCAGCAGGCCCCAAGAGAGCCCAAGATAGCCCCAACATGGCCTCCAAGATGGTCCAATCGAGCCCAAGAGGCTCCGAAGAGGCATCCTCCCCCTTCTCCTTTTTCCTCCTTCTCCTCCTCCCCTTCCTCCCCCCCGCGTTCCCCGAAACCTTTCCAAACCGACTCGGGGAACACATGGTCCGATAGCTTGGCCAAGCTCCAGCCCAGCTGTCGGACACACAGGCGCTTCCACAAGGGCAGGGGGCGGCGGTGACTCGCCGTAGGAATCTTCGATCCGCCGCCGACGGTGGCTTGCCACAGGGGGGCTGCACGACGTGCCAAATGTCTGCGTGGTTTGGTGCATTGAGCAGTTCCCAGCGGGCTCTCGGCCGATCGCGTCGGCCACCCGGAAGCCGCCCGAGTTGCATAGCCTACCGGTCGTCCAGCGCAAGACGGCCGCCATAGGGCCTCCAAGGAGGCTAAGATGGCCTCCAGCGTGGGCCAGATGGCCCCAAGGCAGCCCAAGATGGCCCGCAAATGTCTCCAAGACGGCCCAGGATGCACCCAGGACGGCCCAAGACGGCCTCAAGGTGGGCCAAGGCGGCCCAAGAGGCCCCCAAGAGGCCCGCAAGACGGCCCAAGGGGCCCCAAGGCAAGCCCCATCGACCTCGAATTGCGGCCCCACAGCGCCCTGAGAGGGACCCACGATTGCCGAGAGGGCCTGAAGACGGCCTCCGAACGCAAAGAGGTCACTTGGAGGCCCCAAAGAAGCCCGACTCAGGCCCCCAAGAGGCTCCAGGAAAACCCCCTAGAGGCCCCAGGAGGCCCCCAAGAGGCCCCTCAGAGGTCCCCAAAAGACTCCCAGGAAGCCCCCAGGAGGCCTCAAGAGGGCCGCAAGAAGCTTCCTCCTCCTCCTCATCCTCCTCCTCCTCCTCCTCCTCCTCCTCCTCCTCCTCCTCCTCCTCCTCCTCCTCCTCCTCCTCCTCCTCCTCCTCCTCCTCCTCTTCCTCCCCCTCCTCCTCCTTTTCCTCCCTCTATTCCTCCTCCCTCTCCCTCGCCCAAGTGTTCTCCCAAGAGGGTCTACAACAGCTGGGGGAACACAACTTTTGGCCGCATGGGCGTTTCCGAAAGGTAAGGGGCGGCGGTGAGTAGCCGTAGCCGCCTTCGATCCGCCGTCCCATGTCGCCTTGCCACAGGCGTGCACGGCGTGCCGAATGTGTAAGCGCTCTGGCTAGTTACAGGTTCCCCATGGGGTCTCGGAGGATCCCGCGGACCACCCAGAGGGCCTCCCAAATGTCATATCGTATCGATCTTCCGGCGCAGTGAGCTGACCAGCCGAGGAGGCCACAAGCCTGTCTGCGCAGCGTGCCCAAGCGCGGTGGCGGATGTGCTCGGCAGAGCAGTTGGAAAATAACAGTCCCTGCCATACGAAACGGGAGGGGCATCATGGTCGGGATGCGTGTCATCGGGACTCTCATTACGCTTCGGGGAAGAAAACGAAGTGGGAAATCCAGCACAGTCTGACTTCGACTCTAGCTGCGATGCTCTCTTGCATAGTTCCCTGCGTGCGCTGACGCTAGTGTCATGCGATCGGAAACGGCTTCTTCGAGATGGTGCTCGAGAAGCACGCTGTACGCGCGCAAGAAGGAGAGAGATAGAGAGAGAGAGAGTCTTAACGGAAGAGGTGACATGCCCAGCGTGCCACGTGGATCCAAGCCTCGAAATGCTACCTACAAACGCATCCAGACACCGAACTACCCTCATCATCCTGGCTGTTCCAGGTCAACCCTGGTCAATCAGTCGCACTACAAAAGAAGGCCGCCTCCTCATCCTTCAATCCTCCTGCTTCCTGCACCATCCGACGAGTGGGACGCGAAGAGGGGACAGAGGAGGACGGAGATCAGAGGGCGGGGGAGAGGAGGGATGGGCGATGAAGGGAATGGTGAAGGGGGGGAGAGAGGTGGGGGAGGAGGAGGGGACTGAAGAGGGTGGAGCAGGAGGAGGAGCGGGTGGTGAGATGGGAGGAGACAGGAGCCGGGGCGAGGGTGGATGAAAGCGTTCCTTGGCCTCCTTCCTGTTGTAGGCGTAGGGCACGCTGCGGCCGTGCCGCTGGTGGAGCGCAATGGCCACGGCGGCCGCCAGGGGGATGCCCTTGTAGGCGGGCCCAAAGAGG